AGGCTATTTTTTTATGGTATGCCGTTCAGGAAATGAATCCTTTAATATATAAACATAAAGTCTGAATATATATAAAAAAAGGTCTGAGTATATTTATTTTTTTGTACATATATATATATATTCAGACTTTCTGTGTGTATATATATATTCAGACTTTTTGTATACAGTATATATTCATGGATTAATTTCCTGAACGGCATGTCACAGTCGTTCAATTATGAGCCCGTAGTACCTCATATGTCACAGATTGAAAGTACTTCAGGTACTCGACCACTCTGCCTGTCCTTCACTCTGTTTAAACAGAGCTTCACAGATGTTCAGCAGATTAAAGGAGAATGACACAGTTCTCTGGTGACGGCCTGTTGTTATACTGTAACTCCTGCTGTTTTTAACACCGTCGTTCACTGCACAGATGTGTGTTCTGATATGATGACGCTTGTTTGGCTTGGCTTGTTCGCCGACGTCTTTCTGCCTCACCGTGGCTGCCGTGTCGGTGCAGCAGGAGCGGTTTATCTTCAGCTCACTTTCATTTCCAATTACAGAGAAAAATAAAAGTTCCGGCGTTTCCCTGTGATTCTCTCCACTGCACAGTGACTGTGGTTCAGGGTGCAAGGAGCAGGAGAACATGGTGCTTTTCCAAATATGCTAATTGTCTGGCTCCTATTCGTCGGTCTTGATGGGGAAATTGGAAAGAAAATATATACAGTATATATATATATATAAAGAGGATGGCAAAGAGCAGAAGTTTAATAAAAAGAACAAAAATCTGGGGCAGAGACACAGACGTTAACAGGAGGAGATAATGATATGCCTCGCTCAAGCAGGAACTTGGCAAGAGTTCTTCACTGTTGGCAAACTTTGATTTAGTCAAACAAGACCCTGAGCTTTGAATCAAACGTAACTTTCACTGATTTATAAGAATATTTATACTTGATCTTTCGGTTTATTCTTACCCACCGAGCCCGAGATCTATGGAAATTATTCTTTTTCTAACTCACTAACTTTCTTCACTTAAACTTTATTTGTATTTATTTCCATATTGAGGTTAAACGTTTTTTTGCAGATTCCATTAAACCTCCCACATCAAAACATTTACAGGAACTTTATTTAAAAAAGAAAAAAAAACTGCTGTTGTCACTGAACATCCATCCATCTGTGCTCCTGCTGGAAAATACAATTACAAATCAATAGCTGGGGATCTTTTGGGGGACCCGTCCTTTACTTTGGGAACCACTGCTTTAAACCAAGTTCTTACTGTACCATTACTGTGAGGCCACGTGAAGTCAGATGAGACACAGGAGAAATTCAACAGAGAGCGTTCGCTGCAGGTCTTTGTCGAAGCGCTTCTTCTCCTTACACAAGCAACTTTTTTCACTCTCCCATTATCAGCAGGGGAGGCCGAGTACGCCATTAAACGCTTAATTAAAGAGCCTTTTATATATTGACAGCTTTGCATTTTATATGAGCTCCGTGCTTTTCGCCTGCATGCTACTACATCACACTTTATTGACGAACACGACTAAAATCTCGTCTTCGCAAATGCTTTTCTACAGTCTCACGTGATGCATGAGACGTAGCTACGACATATATTACTACATAGATATATACCTGTCAGATTAAACAGCGCTTTGTGGATATTCACTGCGTCCAGATACATCAAACTAAAGCTGCTGCTCCAGCCTGTACCGTGCGGAAAACGGAAGACTGTGTTTTTCACGTAATGCATCAACGTGAGAGAAGATAATGCATGTATTTCTGCTGCTCTGTGAGACGTAACTGCTACATTAAAAGCATGGGATGTACAGAAAAATGCACTTTACACATTACGGAAAACCAGATGTACACACAGCAATGCTAATATTTTATCATAAAAAGCATTAGGTGTAGCTCACAGTCACGGGAACTAGAAATTCTGTAATTTTTTCAGCCTGAGATGGATGGATGGATGGATGGATGAATGGATCCATCTATCTATCTCTGGGCAAATTTTCATTTCATCATTTTCTACACCATCTATTGGGGTAACATGGGTATTAAAGGGTCAAAAGTCAAAAGTATAATGATAATAAATAAATAATATAATTTTAGAAAAGTTTGGCGGGCCAGATTAAAAAGCTGAACGGGCCACATCCAGCCCCCTGGGCCTCCGTTTGCCCATGCCTGATCAATCTATTTAATATTTTCTTAAATACTGGTGAAACTGGAGTACCTTTTAGTGGAGGTCTAACCAAAGACAGACCGCTGAAGCCCACCTATTAAGACCCACGCATTTGAAAAACTTCTTAATTTTTAGCCAGTAAAGTATTCCTGAGAGTTTGGGCAATTACAGGCGCAGCATTAACCTCGCTCTGTGGGATATTCTCCATTCTTCTCCACGATCTCCTGCTGGACTAAAAATCAATCGGCCTGTGAAGCAGCAGCTCATTTGTCCTGGGCTCTGACAGAGACGCTGGTCAATAAAGGCACTGCATTGCTATGGTCGGGGCCTCCCAGCAAAGCCTCTGCTTGGCGCAGCAATACTGCGACTGGAGAACATGATAGATGGCACGGGCGTGAGCTCGCTGGAGCGAGACGGAGCCGTTGGGCAGCAGTGACACATTTTGTCACCTCGCACGATCTTATCTCACTGTGGAGCATCAGATGATGAAATGACAGCAACTCTGACTTAGCCCAGAGGGTTGGAAGGCTGTTCTAATAACTTGGTGCCTTTTTTTTTTTTTTTTTTTTTTATTAAAAATAAAAGTTTTCTAATATTATGTTTTAACAGTTGGTTAATGGGAGAAGATTTTTATATTTTATCTTAATGAACGCAACAATATTTTAGGTATAATATATGCATATATGTGACTGTATACACACAACCATATATCCTTCTGTATATATATTTGTAATGTATACACACAACCATACATACATATATATGCTTATCTATACATACATTTTACATATATCCTTCTGTATATATATTTGTATATGTATCTATGTATATACAGTAAATATATACACATATAGACATGCATACACATAAATATATGTGTATATATACAAAGGTATGCCTATATACATATACAGTATATAAGTACATGTCTACATACAGTATACAGCATATACAGTACAAAGTATAAACTAAATATACTAAATATCGCCCATTCCTGTGGAGTGTGCAGCTCTATGGTGAGGAGTAGCCCATCATTGAACTATGAATGCTGGGATTGACCGTCGCTCTCCCTGTGACCCTGAAACAATGAAGTTGAATAAATCAATGTGTCCAACTGTGTTGTGCTTCCCATATGTGTGTGAAAAAAAAAAGGGACTTTTGAACCAAAAGCAGAGCCGGCAGCGGTGTAGGGTTTTTTTCTGTTTCCAGACTCAAAAACCCAGTCAAAAAAATGACAGCACAGAGCGGATGACAGGTAAATCCCAGCATCTTGTATTAGTAAATAAAAATAGAGCAGTGTGGATGCAGCTTTGCTGCCTTTTATAAGGAACTGCTTTCAGAGAATGGGGAAGAGAATGAGGCCGACAGGTGGATTGTTGTAAAATAAAACTCATCTTAGCCTTAAAATTGAAGACATAATTAACAAAAGAGCTCTCATTTGCTTAATTATCCCTCGGATGAACATATGATGTAGTAATTAACCTGCAGCGCCCTCCCCCCCTGCCGCCCCCCCCCCCCCATATTCCCTCAATCCCAGAATTGTGCAGACAAGAAGGGAAGGCAATTAGCTTGAGCCTATGATTATTTGTCATGAATAAATGTATGCGTTGCCATGATTACCTCTTACACATCCTGCAATTAAATAACCTTGTAAAAATGATGCAGATTTATTCAATAACCTCCGCTGTGCTCTTGCAGAAAACTGTGATGATATTACACACTTTCACATAAGCTATTTTTTTTTTTTTGCATCTTCATCAAGTCATGTAGCGCTTTATTTAAACTTAGACAAATGTGTGTGACGACAGAATCACTTATTCTTAAAGGTTCTATCTTGATCAGGAGATCAATATTATCAATAATATTTTAAAAATGCAGCTTGAACTGAAGGTTATCTTAGAATGACAACATCCCCAACCTCCTTACTGTAAGGCAAGAGAGGTTACCGCTTCTCCACTGACTCACACCATGTGAAGTATATACTTAAATTGGCAGCAGACCTCAGTGTGAAAGGTTTGGTCCCACTCTAAAAAGGCACATAAAACATCTGAGTTCTTGGTATGAGACGTCAGCTGAGGTTATTGAGGCAGTCATGTGAAAAAAAAAAAAACCTTAGTTCAAAATGTAGAAAAAGAATCTTTGATGCCAATGAAGTTGGCGAAGGACACGTCCCACAGAGTCTCCTCGTAGTAAAATATATATTAACAAGTGGTTCAAAGCGATGCATACGGTAACGAGCAAAGCTGGCAGAGGTAGAAAACTAGATTTACCAGAAATCCTTCAAAAGTGTCTTGTGAAAAAAAAAAAACTGGAACAGACCCAGAAAAACTCATCTGCTGCTCAGACTCCTACCAGCTTTCTGAGAAAATACCAAATTACGCATGTATCGAAAGCAGAGTGTGAGTGTGAACTTAGCATCACGTACTTTGATTAAATCTAACTAATCCAATATGCGTCCTTTGATTAAATCTAACTAATCCAATATAATCCCTGAACCTCATAAAAACCCTTTCACTCCAAGGAGACCTGTGGAATGTCCCCATGAGGACAAAGTGTTTCCACAAAAGGGGTTTTTATTTTACTTTATTTTTCTAATAGAGCCAGAAGTAAATAGCTTATTAGCCACACACACACACACACACTC